TTTAACCCCACTGGGTAATTTTCTTTGTCTGTCTGCTAGCTTGATAATATATTTAGGAGTTAGATCTAGATTCCAGTATAGAACTCGGTCAATATTTGGCCAAAAACCAACAAGAAGTTGTTTCCAAATAAACAAGTCAAAGTCTTCCAGTTGCTTTGCTATTCTGTGTTTAGATGCATGGTCTTCTTCTTCTTCTTCTTTATGTTCACATTCTGATGTGAAATTGTGAAACTGCAGGAAATGGGGATTTGAGAAACTCGTGTACAAAGATGTGAAAAGAGGAATTAGAAGGGACAGAAAATACGCAGTGCAACCGCGTAATGTGTATGCCACAGGAGTGCACATGTCACAGAACGTAGCAGGGAAGACGACCCACAAGACAGAGAACAGGATCAAATACTTCCATTACCATGGAACCATTGCCAATAGGCGTGAGCCATGCAGGCAGCTAGTCAACGCGACTGAGACAAACGTTGACAAAATCCCTTATGTTATGGACACCACCATGAGAGATGTTGCTGGCTCTGTCAAGAGGTTCGAGCTCAGAATGATTGGAAACAGGTTACAAAAGACCAGGCAATGAGAGCACATAAAATTTTTTCACTTTTCTTTTTCTTTTTCTTTTTCTTTTGCATTGTTCTTTTTCTTTTTTCTTTTCTTTTTTTGGTAATTTAATGTTTAATTACAGTTGTAGAACAGGAAATTCTTTGGTTTAGGGTTCAGAGTTCTTCCTTGTATAATAGTTTTCAGTAAAGGTATATATAGATACAAGACTTACAAGTGGTGGTGGTATATGGACATGTCACATGCTTTTGAGGCAAATATTAGTTTTTTTCTCTTCATTTTGTTATTCTGATTCTTTTTTAATTTAATAATAATAATAATATTATTATTATTATTTAAAAAAAGTTGATTGAATTGGATTGTCGGTCTGGAGGGACCACATGAACTGCACCCATTGAAGGTGGCTTTGGTGTCAAATGAGCTTTATTTGGCTATCTAACTTTTCATTTCTGTGTCGTCCTGGATCTATCATTGCTTTTCCTCTCTTTTTTTTCTTTCCTTTTTCTTTTCTTTTTCTTCTTGACCAAACAGATAAATCCAGAGCTTAAGACAAAGTGAACAGAACAAACCTTGGAGCTTTTTACATTTCCAAGCATTAAATTTTCTGAGGCATCCGATGTTAAAGCATCACATAATAACATATACTAATCACCAACAAATTAAAGAAAAAAAGGTGTTTTGCGCCTTTTTATAAAAAATATTATTAGCTTTTATCAAATGCGGCCCCCGAAGATTAATCTTGAAGTTTTGCATCAATCAAATACATGGAGAGCCCCCTTGCTGCCAAGACAAGATTTGAGCTTGCTTTGCCGATTAGAAAAGAAAGACTGCATATCATATGTGATTTTGATGATGAACATGGACCATACGGGTTTTGGAATGATTCATAAAAATCACAAAGGGTTAGCTTTATCCAATATGAGACAAGTCAAAAGGAGCCGGTGGGTGTGTCATTTGGAATGTCTCATCCTGTAACTAACACATGGACAAAATTAGGAAAGAAAGAAAGGAAGGGATGAATCAATCAATAGTTCGGCGGACGAGTGTCCTGTCTCTAGAGGGTTCCTCATAATTCTATGCCAGCTAGGAATTTAAGACTTTTCTAAACTTTCTCATCACCTTGATAGTTTAAGTCGAGTTTTAGATAATAACGGAACTAGACTATTACGTTCTAAAAATTTACTACGCAAGAGAATGAGTCAATAATGTATATTACGTGAAAGTGCATCGAGCTTTCATACAATGTTACCACCAGTCATGAAGACCCGTGAAGCCAGCAACAGAAGAGAGGGTGCCAATTGAAGACCCCTCCATCCTCGTAATGAAAAAATTTAATGCAAATATAAATGAGTATGGTTCTAAACATAAGTCCAACATTGAATGAGAACGTGGCAGATTTAAAGGGCTGGCAACTAAAAATAATAATTGGGGTGGGTGGGTTGTGGGTCCCAATGGCCCCACCAATCCCTCTTTTTGAAAGTTTAATTAATGCGACCAGTAACGTAGTATTTAATATTTGGTATGTTTACTATATGGTGTGGAGGTGCAAAAGATGTCTTTATGAGACAAAAGAGTTACTTGGTATTTATTATACTTCTGACTGAGGCTGCCCTCTGCATCACTCAGGCTCCCGGAGAAACGGCGATGAAAACTGATACACCATTTTCTTTTCTAAAGTACAAAGCCCCATGCCCTAGTTTATTTTTGTTTGCAGATTCTCTGGCATTGATTGTTATTGTTGCACATTAAATTGTGGTGCAGTTTTATAATTTAACTTTTTACTAAAAATTTATTTTATGGTGTAAATGTGAGTTAGGTTAGTCGGTCAATGTAATATGTTGTATTCGAGTTTCAACCTTCTCCCGTGTATGAAAATAATTTAGACTATCGTCATTGTAAAATATAAAAATAAACACCTTATTGTAGGGTACTCCCATCCCATCCAATAATATAATTCGTCCATACATTATAATATGAATGAACAATATGGTTCACATTTTCCACGCTTAAGCTCTTAATTAAATTATCCGCAGCCGTAATTCTGTCCTCACATGATGGTTAGTCAAGCTTAAAGTCCTAACTTTACCGGTGATTGTTTGTGAAGAAAGATAATAATATATTAAAAATATCCGATTTTTTCTTAATCAAGTTAGCTCAAGCGGATGTGCTCCTCACTCAGCACCTGACTTCGAATTCCCTTCCCGTAATTTAAATTAGTTTAAAGTAGAATATTGTTTAAAAAAAATATAATATTCATAAAAAATAATAATAAACAAACACCCATTTGGAAAAATTAGATTGTCGATTCCATAAAATTATTGCATATCTGTTTTTGGGTTGATTGCTGACATAGAGTCAGAGCTGGAGGGCGTGTGAGCCTCGACAGTGTTCTGTGTTTCTTGGTTGGCTGGCTGTTTTTCTTTTGCCTTTTGCGTCGGTTCAATAATTTAGAAAGAAATAGGAGGCCCATGAGCAGCGGTGGAAGTCTGGATTGTATAGCAGCTGGCATTGCCAGACTTTCGCTTTCAACTTTCATCATCTTGTTAATATTAAGTACCCTATTAAAAAAGAATTTTTTTTTGGTAATAACAATAATTAAATGTTGTGAGTTAGGTAAATTATATAATGTCAATTAATAATGAATTTTATTTAATTTCATGAAATAATGTTTAACAGATAACTGAAAACTGAACCACTCATCACCTTGCAATTATAATTTTTAAAAATATTTAATTTGTGATGGCCGCTAGAAATATACTCCTATCATATTTGTATACCACATTCTCATACTACATAACAGATGAGGTGGACATCCATATCAATTAAAATTTAATTAGAAATATAATAAGTGTAACATTATTCATATAAATATTGTCCTGAATTTCAAAAAATACATTTAATTTTTGTATAACCAAGAATAATGAATTCATGGTCCAGCTAGAGCTAGAGCTATTAGTACTATATTACAGTTAATAATTGTCAAAAATGGTGGGGGCACACATCACATGAACACATGTGACCTAGGAATTCTTTTTCAAATGCCTCACCCTCACAAAACCCATTTCTTATTTTCCATTTGGGTGATCTTACCCTTTTGCCAGGCTTCAACTGCAAACCCATGCTTGAGGGCGAAGGCCACGAGACTTTGTCCAACACTCCAAAGATCCTCTATGGTGATAATTGAAAAAGTTTCAATGTCAAACCCTTTGAACACGGGATTTTGGAATTCTAAGGGCTCATTTACTTCACGGAATAAGTTGTTTCGTAAGTAATTAACTTTTACACGTTATCATTCAATTTCGCGAAATAAATGACGTAAAAATGAAAATTAATATTAGAGATTAGTCATAGTAAATAAAAAGGGCCCATTTCTTTGTCTGAATGTCCAACTTTTCTCTCTGGGTGGTGGACTTATGTTTGCATTACTATTGGCGTGATACAGATTGATGTTAACTTTGACAGGAAGGAAGCTAATCATTTCATATTCCAAGTGTTCGGATGCAGTATGTTAACCTGTGAATGTGATAGAGAAACAAATAGTCGTTAGGTGGCACATTATGGGAAAGTTTATTTAGCTGGATTGTAGTACATGCAAGGGCCGAACCAGGAACTTTCATAAGGGTAGCTAACTGAGTTTTGTCTTTGGCGAGTGATGGGACGGAGGGGCTCAATTTTTGTTGAGGTTAGTTTATGGAATAGTATGATTAGTAAGTACGTCACTAAACACTGTTTATAAAGGCAAAATGCTACTCATCCAACCCTAAATGTTACATGTACAATGAAATTGGCTTTTATTAAATTGATGGGATTAGAGATGACTTCTATTTGACAAGAACTCAAATTGACACGATTCAAATACCACATAACGAGTTGTTGCAACCTTGTCTAGTCCATCGCCTAGGGCTCAAATGAGGGAGCCTCTATAATGAAGGACTATACCGAGGAGTTACAATGAGAGAGTTTAATCTAACAGTTCAATAATAATTATGCACTGGATCGGATGACTATTAAAGACCAACTCATTATAGCCCTTGCTCAAGTGAAGGCTTTGGGTAGCTTGGGGGGCATAATTTTTTGTTTCTATTGGCCTAATCTTTTGGGGTTACCCAATCTTTTCGTTCAGCAAGAATTCTATATAGTGAGGCCATTGTGTCTGGCCTGCCCTCATTATAGAATGACTCTTTCATTTAGTGGACTAAAAGAACGTCCATAGTCCTAAACTTCCAAATAGAAGGATCCAACCAGCCCAACCCACTTCAGAACCCAACCCGAGCCCAGTCATGGGCCCAATGCCAACCGGACCTGCACAAATGTGTAGCATTGTAATATGACTATCATAACAAAATAGCTCCAGTTATGTGCATGTTATTTCATATCAGATCAAAGACAAAAAAAAAAAAAAAATCCACTATCATTATACCAAAAAACATAGGAAGTTATGTACTCTGTGCTTCTAAGAAAGCTTTGAAATCATTCCTAGCCTTGCGCAGTCGAGGTGTAACGCAAACGGTCGGTGATGTAGGAGACGATGATGTTGAAAACCGAACATGGCGTGAGGCTTCATGTGATTTCCGGCCTTGTGTTCTTGAGGAGCCATTCTTCAGAACTCCTTTTCTATCAGTGTCAAACACAAAAGATGTAGAAATTGGTGAATCTGTGTCGTTGATGCTGCTTCTTATTAGCTCCAGTGGAAGATCAAAGTAGTGACTAACAGAGTCATCATCATGCTCATTGATCATAGCTGATGCCCAAGAGCCACATTCAAATTTTTCCAAGGAAACTGTCCTAGAGATGACATTTCCCAGCTCATCAGGTTCTACCTTCCTTGCTTTCACTGGCTTTGCCTTGCCAAAGCCTGGAATGAACAAGCACAGGGCTCCACATGTGAACTTATCATCACATGGGTCCATTTTCTTGCCAGTTTTATGAGCAACTTTGTTGGGCTCGGTTCTAGGGAGGCTGCTGTAATGCCTGGTGACCTTTTCAGTGGCATTTGGTTGGATCAGCCAAAGATCAAAGTCGTCTGAAGGGGCACATGCTCTTCCTTGACCACATGACTTGCTCCTCCTAAATTGAATTTCTTGTTGCAAGTGGGTCAGATTCTCCATTTGCTGCTGGGGAGATGCTTGGCTTTCATCTTTCCATTTCTTCTTCAATCGCGGCGAGGAGGTTGCTGAGTTCGGGAGACTGAAGCTTAAGAATTTTGGCTTTGCAGGCAGTAGGGGTGGCAGTTGGTCAAGTGCATTGGCTTTTGGAGCTGTCACAACAGGGGGAGCGGTAACAACAGGCTTCACCACCACTGGGTCATTAATCACTTCTCTGTTAGATGATTCTTTCAGTGATATTGGATCTACAGAAATCTGCTTTTCTAGATCTCCAAGAGAGAAGCACTCACTCATTTCAAATGAAACTGGATAATCCATTGTAGAGAAGGGCAGAAATGAAATCCTGAGGATGAGGTGTGGGATTGGGGTCTACTTAAAAAGGAGGGAAAAAGAGACTTACGGGACCTTAGACGTGAGCAGCATACCCTTCACTAATCCACATCTAGTAGTGATATCCATGTTCTCTATTTACTCCATATTCTATTTAGAATGAGTTAACTGCTAATCCCTACAATAACTCTGTTTTCATCATATAATCTAATATGAAAGAGAGTTGACTTGTAACAGGTTGGAGTTGTTACTACATTCAATAATGAACTCCTAGGTACCAAGGGGATGGGATGCCTGCATTAGGATATAATTAAATAATCTATAAGCTCTGATGTGCTTGCAACAACAGCATATATAAGATTCATACATGCAAGCAAGAATGCAGGGGAAGACACGAAATATAAAGTAAACAATTGATGGCATGGCAATGCACCTTCATGTCATAGGTGCAAGCCAATGGTCAGCCAAACCCCATCAGGCCCTCAACAGAATACACAAAAACATGAGATTTATCATTAGCCATTCTCATTACGATGTACAAACTCATGTTAGGATCAGAAAATTATATTGCAAGGCATAGATATTTATACATTGAAATATGACAGTGAGACAAGAATTCTACTGTAGTGAATTATAAAATAAAATTAATACCACTGATACACCAATAATGACTGGGAAAGCCGTGACTAAGTACAGTGCTCCATAGCCCTGCAAGATAATAAACCCCATCTTAATAACCAAAGATTAGCTAAACCAGAAAATTATGAATCTGTCTTTTTAAAATAAAATCAAGTAAAGGTTTCAAAGTATTTTAGTTTTAAATGATACGTATTGCATATTCTAAACATTGATTAATTATTGTAATGATGATATACTTATCCTTTTTACTTTTCTGTTGAAAGGAATAATAAATTTGAGAACATCATCTCATTTAGTGTAAAATCAAAGCATACTCAGCAGTAGATATCTAATAGTTATTATTCCTGGTTCTCCTTAATCTGACAATTGCAAGAACATAATAACATCATTTTATCACGAGAAAGCTAAGGAAACCAACCAAAACTGGAGGCACTTCTGATTCATCACTGAGTTCAGCATCATCAATCTCGGCAGCTGTATCCCAATCAATATTCAGTCTCTTAGCAGCCTCTTGAAGATCAATACCAGTGTCTGTCACTCTCGCGTATAGGGACTTGCCAGGCTTTTTCTTCGCTGGTTTAATCTGAACCTATACAACAAAAAAAAAAAAAAAAAAAAAAAAACATATAGGAACAACTGAGCAAATTGATATCCAGTGTCAGTTAGAAACTTATATAAAAATGAAAGAACAGTGGTGAGTCATCTCATGAAAAGAATTCTTTATATTTGTTTTCAGAAATAGAAAATGGGGGATGAAAAAGAAAATTTTCTGATCACCAAAAATTTGAGACAACAATATTGGAACAAAAGTATACCACATTTACGCTGGAGTGGTTTCAAAATCACATTTTTCTACGGTTTACAAACTTTTTTCTTAGTGCAATTCAGAGCTTGGCACTTTATCCTAGTCTCCTTGTCTAGTGCTTCACGTTGTTCTAAATTAATCATCCCCCACATTAGTAACCTATAGTTGGAACAATTGATAAAATGAGAGTCTTCCAATATAGATCAGAGTTCAAAACCATTTTGATTTTAATTTCCATGGCTGCATGCAGATAGGTCAACTATTAAATCACGATGAGCAATTTGTATTACCATAAATTGGCAAGCAGTACCACCTTTATCCCTATCATGAGGGAATTATAGGCATAGTAACAAGTCTTTGTCAGAGGAAACAAAGTGGACCATTGATGCAGGACGCGTAGGACCTAAATTTATTAGTTTCCTAATGTATTTGTTAGTTTCCCAGATTCTCTAGTTTTCCAAATTCTAGTAGGATTTTTACTTTTCCAGATTTCCAGATTTCTAGTTTTAAGTTTCCTATTTTATTTGGGTTATGATTTCTGTTTAAGCAAGGGATTTTTATCCTATTATGTCTAGGTTTTAGTTTGCTATAAATACCCCCATCTAGTTCTTTAAAATTCAGATTTGGATATTGAGTAAACCTTCCCTTAAAACTATGTGGTTTCTGTTCTTCCTTCTCGGTTCTCTGATTTCAGTCCTTTCTTTCGTCCCTTCGATCTATATTTTCGTCTCCTCGACCTCCGATATTCTTCTATGTTCTATTGTTTGAGTGCTTACTCTAATACCTACGGGCTCTACTACATCAACCATTCCATGAATTAAGGCAAACATGGAAAGCCAATCAATTATGATAATCTACTCATCACACAGTAAAAAGCATCTCTAAAATCAATCATTAATATACTTGAATTACAATAATACCTCGAGATTAGGCCATTGATTCATTTCCTCAGCCAGCAGTTTAAGAGCAAGTCGATTTCTTGGGATTTTTCCTTCATTCACCTAAATCAATAATCACAAATTAGTGTCCCAATAAATTGAATTAATTCTGAACAATTTACAGATGCCAAATATATGTTTTCCTCTCTCTTATGATTTCAGAAGGTTATGAACACCAAAGCAAAGAGTTGTAATGACATAACATTCAATTTATTCAAATTAGTGTCACTCAACAATCAATTCATATTTTTGAATATTCCTTCATCATTATACTAAAGATGCCAAGGATTTAATCCAACCATTATCAGTAATACGAATCTCTATTTCTCACACTTACATAAGCTATTATTGAATAGTTCCCACTTAGAGAGAGAAATTTAATGCCATATTATAAAACAAACATCTGATAATATACTGTTTGTAACAAAATAAGTTTTGATATTAAAACACAATGATAAAGACCAATTTATCAAACTCAAGATTGAGCTATGATACCCACAATTCCTGCTACATCAGTTGTTACAGGTCCATAAGTAGTTGAACTAGCTTTGTTTATTCTTTAGAGGAAATGTATTGCTTCCTTAGATGCTGATTATCTATATTACAACTTCCCCAACACTTGCCAACTTATTTTTGAAAAGCATATCTCTAACTACAGTAATCTTGAAAAACAATAAAATATATCAAGAAAGGAAATGTTTTTTCGATCCAATTTTTCCACCTTAATACCATTTTCAGAAACCTTCACAACAGCCATGAAAATTTGGTTTTCCTTCGTATCATGTAAAAAAATATGAAGCAAAGGCTAAACTACAGAAGCGCCACATAATGTATAATATGGGTTGATGACTTAATGACTGCACCTATCTGAAAAATCAAACTCAAAATTTCCAATATAGCTGGAGCACATTTATGCATCAACGATCATATATTTCATGACTTGCGTAAACCAGTGAGGATAGAGAGATTTTCTCTTAGAACATGTGTGCTTTTGACATATCAAAAGATGCACATGTAGTTGATGGAAATTCATCATCCAGTCATTTTTCAGTATATGTTCGTCACTCACACCAGTGATGGAAGAAATATGGCAGCGGCCAGCCAGCACTCTACTAATGCGGCTATTCCGTCCTGATTGCAATTACTAGGAGCTTTAAGATGCATCTACTAGAGGTTGTCCTATTAAAATGGTCAACTACTTAGTTGAAGGTTGCAATTTGTGCATGTCAATGTGGGAATTTGTCCTCTAAAAAAGGAAATATTGAATGAATTGATTGAAAATTATAAGATTTCAAACCAAGTGAAGGACTTTATTAATAGTTTGGGTGAACATAATAAACAAATTGCTTATGAGGCCTCTCCAATTGTGCAGTAGTTCCTTGAATCCATATAAGTGGCTCATCCATAATTGGATTCATTGAAGTCATGAATTCTTTGTTTGAATTAATAATACTACTGTGATACCTAGTATTAACATTGCACTAATTTCGGCTGTTTCATGAATCATGGCACTGAAAATTCCTCTAGCATAATGTAGCTGTAGCACAATGGGCAGGAACCCAACTCCAAATAATTAATAATATATGAAAGTAGTGTAGTAGCGAGGGAATTAAAAGAAGGGGCTTACTTCTTCAAGAACCTCAGCCAATTCCTCCCTGGTAGGGGCATCAGGATCTTCGATGCCAAGGAGTCTCCTGCGCTCAACTTCCCGTAGGTCCTCAATCATGACAGTGAGCTTAACCTATCATATTGCATACCATCACAAAGTTGATTAAGATTCAAAATAACGAAATGGTAAAGCACAAAAAGAAAGGGGTTCACTGAATTATACTTATACTCTACCTCACTGAAAATCATGTCTCTGTTTTTGCGGAGAAGCTCCAACACCTATCAACAACAAGAGTGAGTGAAAGAGTGAAACGCAAAGAAACCCATTAAAGAATGAACGAAAGCAACATACCCTTTTGATTTGGCTAACGTATTCGAGGTCTTCAGGGTCGGGGTCGGATTCATCTTCGTCATTTTCTTCTTCCTCTTCCTCTTCATCATCATCCTGGTCTTGTTGGGTAGTTGAAGAAGAAGATGACGAAGCTTGCAATTTCCTATCTTTCTTGGCAACGAGTAAAAGTGTAGCTCTTTTATACGAGTGCCGGTGCTGTAGAGCGAGGTGAGGCCGAGAATGGTGGCAGCGGTGTTGACCGAACCAGAGTGGGAGAGTTTGGACCCAAGAAGAAGAAGAAGAAGATGAGGAGGAGGAGGAGGAAGTGGGTGGTGCCAGTGGCGCCACTTGGAGCATTTGCAAACCCATCATCACCACTCTCACTCTAATGGCAGTTGGAAGTTGAAATCTTTCACAAGCTTCTTGGAATTTCAAATGATGTGATTAAACATGCTTTGCCAAATTCTATCCTCAATCTCTTTGCTTTACTACCCACTGCATGATAAAATTGAGATGGTTAAAGTAATAAAATGTGACAAAGATGTCATCTTCACTTATCATTCCAGTAGCAGAAAAGAACCACTTGATGGTGTAATTTTGTTTACAAAGAAAGGAGGAGGAAAAAAAAAAAACCCTTTGGAAGACCAAATTAGTTTTGGGTGTCTGGTCCAACCACAAGGGTTAGCCAATATTCAAAAGCCCAACCTTGCTCAGCCCATTTGGTGTAATACATATTTTTTTTGGAGGGAAGGACATTGGTAAGATTTAGGACTTCTAATGGTAATGAAGAAATTGTACCTATTCAACAAACCCAAACTAGCCCAAGGAGTTCACATTTGGCCCATGCCATCTCTCATAAAGATTAGACCAAATTTTTTGATACAAACAATATTCTATTTTAATATAATCTAAGGGAATTCGAACTCGGTGTAGAGTAAGAAGCATATTCGCTTTAGACAACTTGACTAAGTCAACGTCTGCAGATTAGACCAAATTTAATTCAGCACCAGATGCAAGATTCATTTACTGCTTGGGACCCAATACTTGTCTGATTTAAACTTTGTTTTCCTTAATTTGCAACTGTAGTCTTAGGTCATTTCACTGCATATAGATGGAGATGATATTTTTCCTAATTGTTAACTTTATTCCTTGGCCTGATTTTATACTCCCTTTTGTTGACATTTCTTAGTCTTAGGTCCATACATTTGCTTACATAATAGGACAAAATAATGTATTCTCATGAGGGAATTGTCCATGCACAAGGACAACACACATATATATATATATATATATATATATATGGGAAGTACAAGATTGCTCAATTTAGATCGATGATTGCATGATGACCGTATGCAGCACATGCAGTGAAACTGTATGGAACAAATTCAAAGGAAATTATTCCTATTTGCCATTCTATATGCACTCATTTGGAATCGAACTAACAGCTTTTTTTTCCAACAAAGACAACCCAATTCCACATTCTTGTTTCCCCCAAATCTTAAAAATCTAGTAAGTAGAGAAGAGCATAGCATGAAAGAATTTCTGACAATTATATTTATTCGTCCTACCTGCCTTGCAATTGCAGAATTCATCTTGGCCATTGGCTACGAGGAGGATATAAAGTCAGTGACAACAAACTCTGCAGATAGAGAACTAAAGCAATACTATTTCTGTATTCTTTGGCTTCCACCAGACGAATTGGATCCACCTGAGCTGTTATGCAAGCCTGCAACTTTTTTGTTTGTACAATATATGTACAGTCCGTACGTATGAATACATATTTACAATGTTGTGAAACTTAAAGGGTTGTAAGTAAATTCTCGTGATTCACTTCTTTATCAATTATAAGATCTTAAGGTAAATTTTGAATACATGTAACTATTTGCAAAACTATACTAATCAGGTAAGCACGAATGATATTTTTTGCGCTTACTTAGTACCAAATCCTTGAAGATTTTAATTATTGCCGTCATATGATGATAATGTGCAGACATCATATATATTCATATGGGACCTTTTCTCCCTTTCTCTCTCCCACACACATAGTTGTTTGGTGTATGTGAATGATGCGATTGAGAGAGAATAAAAATGCAAAGACACAGATCATATCATGCAAACAAAGCAACGTGCAAATTAATCAGAGATTCACATCTAGAAAAAAGTATGCTTTCGTTGACCTTTTGATTATCATTGGCTTCTCGTACTTTAAAAATATATATTATCTTTATAACTTACTTTGTTAATCATCAAAAGTAGACATATGGACGGACCACCTTGCCTCTCCATTAATTCATGCTTGTTCTCTTCTCCATCTGCATAAAAACATAAAACGTAAAAAAAAAGAGCAGTTTGTTGGTTGGAATGGAAAAGGAAAACTAAATTATATGTAAAGAATAAGAGCTGCGCCCTATCTTTGTTTTGTTTTGTTTTGTTTTATTAGCCGAATCAAATCATTTATATAAAGATTGGCTATGAGGAATCAAAGTACCGTGACCAAATTCATCAAATTAATCGAAATGTTTTCGAAAGAAAAATATAATAGAAAAAGATCCACAGTTTTCGTGAGGTACACTTTAAAGCAATGATTAAAACTGTATTATAGATGTGATTAAATTATAGGAAAAAAGGAAGATCCACCTCTATCTCTAATATCACTCTGTCTTTTTTCTTTTCTCAAAATAATTTTATATTTGTAGTCTTTTCTACTTTTATTATGACCCACCACCTAGCACTAAAGAAATGGCTCTAAAAGCTAGGAGGAACAAAACAAAAGACAGGCTATGAAAATGAGAGGGACTAGCTTGTTTTCACTTGAAAATTATGAGACAAGTCAATTAGATAGTCACCCCCACAGTAATGTCCAGCAATATCATTAAATTGCAGTAAATATTGGTAGATGCTAAATAGTAAAATTCTGGAATCCAAGAAAAACACAACTACTTGTGGAAAAATTAAACTTTCTTTTTGCTAATCTTCAGGCTTTCTAGTTATCTGATTTTTTATATGAAATTGCATTGGAAACCAAATCCGATTAGAAAGGGTCATTTACCAAAACATCTTGAATGATATCGAGCGACCCTCCATACTAAAAAGAAGGGTTGACAATGGAAAAAAAAAACTAAGGTTGATAAATACTCCTTATCGTTATGATTTATCTATGGAAATAGTAAGTGATAAGGATTAGTTCGGTTTCAGATTGTGACAAGAAAAAGACACAAAATTCATTCATCAATTAATAAGTTTTTTTTCTTCCCTTTTTTCTAATAGGCCTTTTTAATATGCATATATTTTTGTGTTTATCTCTGGAAGAATTACCACTATTAGTGTTAAACATTTTCTTTGGCAAGTGGAAGTCCCAAAAAGCCAAGTCGTCCAACAAGAAATCTCCTTCATGCAAACAAACAACACCACAAAAGACATAGCAGCATCTTGAGCGTACAAAGATATTTTTAAAAGCTTAGTGAAAAACACTGTATAATCTAATCCCGCGTGTTCTTATAAAGATTTTGCACCATTTTTTGCCCTACACTGTACATGAAAAGAACCACATTATGTATGGACAAAAAAGAAAACTACATATCTTCCTCAATTTGTTTTATTCATTCCTCAACTCACTGCCGTCATGAACCCAAATAAACTTTGTATCTATTCAATTTTAATAGTATAGAGACCTTTAAATGGATCAGATTTTGTCAAGTTCTTCCTGAATATATATATGGATAATACGTGATAGTTGCATTTGAATTTGATGGCTTATGTGGCAGTTTGACACTTTAGAAAATATTTAACTCCACACAAAATGTCAAATATCATATTATTTTATTATATTGTTAAAAGCAAATGGGGCTCATATGATGCATAAAATTTTAAAAGAGAGCAAATGATAGTGGGGTCCATAACTAAAAATAATATTTAACATCAAACTTTTTGATATGTTATTTTTGACATATCTCTTCCAGCCTTCAAATCCATGCGGGATTTGACTACTCCGTTTGAACAACTTTAACTTTCAAATTTTGCTATTTCATGTCCATGTGGCAATTTGATATATCGATCGGAGATGCTCTTAGTAACTAATTGTCATCAACTTTAATTTCATACAAGTAGCTTAAATATATCCACATTACAAATATATTGGAAAACAAAAAGTAGCAAAATATGCTCATGATCACTTCCATTTTTCAGAAAGGTGGGTGTGATGAGGTGATCAACTTAGTGCCCCATAAAGATTCATTAATTGCTCTAATTAAGGTATATGTGAATGAGTGAATCCCATTATATATATATTTGATTTGGCAAGCAATTCCAACCATATAATATAAGTAGCAGCATTGAGGGCTATATAATTAATAAATTGTCCTACATCATACATGTGAGATTGGAATAATGTCCTCATATGCACCATTACCCCTTGTATATTCATAATGTCCTCATAGGTGATTGATTCAGATTTAGTTTTTCCTTTTTTAGTAGAAAGAACACAACTCTAATATTTCTAGTATATAAAAGTGGAAAAAAATAGTGGGGGAAGACATAATTATAGCAATGAATGTACATCCATCATACTAAACTTTGATATGGGTTAAATTTTAAATCTTTTTGATTAGTTCCTAGATTTTGTGAGAGCTAATGTTCATTTAAACGTGGTAATTGATTTAGGTAGATTCTAGAGCATGCCTTACAAATTTAGCATGCGTTTGTGAATGATTGTTAACAATGAATGTATGCAAGTCTTGAACATAAGTAAGTGGACATGTTGTTGATGTATGTGCACTAACGATTGATAATCATTCATTATCGAAACCAAATCAATATCCTCAATGGATAATTGATCATTTTTAGTGGTGTTATAGTGTTAAAGTGACAAGGCAAATTGACAATGATGTACTTAAGCAATTAGGCAATGATTTCAAACTTCCATTTTTTTTCCCCAAAAAAAAAAAAGAAATTCACCAAAAGCTATCATCTCATGGTTCAAATCAAACACTACTATCATTTACACTACGCAACACCCATCTCCATCCCTTGGTGGGTGTCCTCTTTGTCTTTATCTCCATCGTCTTCTTTACCTAATTTGGTATTCATGTAAATCCCATACGCATAAGAACAGAACCCCCACCCACACAACAAAGTAGACACCACCTTCACTCCCCCAAACTCATCCCCGTACACCAAAACCCCTCCCAACACATTCATCCCCATCAAAGCCGTCATGCAAATCCCCCCGGTCAACGATGAGGTCAAGAACACCATCCCAGCCGTCCCCATGAAGCACAGCTGCCACGTCACCACGTTGCACAGCACGGTCACCCAGTAAATACTCTGCCCTTTATCGAACACCTTCATGCTCTCCACCTTCATCTCCCGAAACGCACCGTTGAGGGCCATCCCGAGCGTGGCCAGCGCCGTGGCCGAGACCTGCATCACCAGTTGCATTTCTATCACCATGGCGTAGCAGTAAACCTTGCTGTAGATCTTCTCCATGACTGGGAGATAGAGAGCAAACAGC